TAAAAATAATAATTAAATAATAATATACATATAATTTAAAAAAAAAAAAATTTTATTATAAATAATACCATCAAATAATACTATCGGAGTTTTGCTGTAGTTGCAGTATTCGAGAGGGCGTTACTGCACAGTAGTTTTTTTGAGATAAATTTTTTGCTGATGTTATGAATTTTCGTATTGTCTTGTAAATGATCAACCACACATTATTATATATGTAATTAAATATATAAGTATGTTATATTAGAATTTTTATTTTGAGAATTCAGATTTATTGTGGTAGTTGATTAGTTGAGTTTTTCAATATATATTTGTCGTTATTGAAATGTATAAATATTTTAAGAACATGACAAGAAAAGAAAGGAAATGTAGAAAATGTCATGTTATAATTTTAGATGGAAATGGATGAAAAACTGTGATGGTAGCGTTCTCCGTCGGTTAATCCCTTTTGATGACGTTCTGTGATTCTCCGCATGATGTCGTAAGATGGTATTCAATATAGTGCAGTCATTAAAATGCATTTGATGCAATCTAAATATGCGACTGTAAAATGATTTTCTTCGAAAAGCCTTGAAATGTTTACTCGTCTAAATCTTTCATGTATACATCTCGTACATAAATAAAATTAAAATATCGGAATAATCTTACAATTAATTTTACAAATAATGGTGATTTTTATATGACCACATGAGATTTTCAAAAACGATTAACATTCATCAAACTGTCTGTTAAAGAATATCTAAGAAATATTTTTACAATGATATATAGGCATTAATGTGAATTCGGCGATGTCAGATTTACCGATTTGCTAATATCACAAATCCAGACATGTTGATTTTGGAATTACACAACGTCATACATTTCGGGCAACGCGTGATGAATATTTAATTTTATTGCACGCTTGTAAATTCATATTAAATGTGTACATATGCGATGTAAAATAAATAGATCGATGATATACAAAAACTATGGCATAAACGATATGGTAATTTTTCGTACACACGAAATGTAGAATTTATTTACATTCTCATCGCATTCTTCATGGGAAAACCAGTAAAAATTAACCTTTGTGCGCTAGAATTATCGATAAAGCGTTGAAAGTACTTGATGATACTGTTTTATCATTACTGTTTTATACGTACTTAGTCATACTTGTGTATATGTATATAATAATCACTTACTAACAATACTATCGAAAGTGTCGATATCAAGTATAAAACGCAATCATTTTTTTTATTAGAATTATAAACTAATAACTAATCTTACTGTTATCACACTTTATAGATTTCACAATAATACAAAAGACTGCTTGAATGACATCATGAGAAGCAATTTCCATTTTTATTCCATTCTTCAACCTCACGTATACATAAACAGTTACTTTCGCGCATAAATAAAATATAAATCACAGCTTATGAGATTTTTGCTCATTACAAAAAATTACTATTTTAATATTTATTACTGCATAAATATATCAGTTTAATATTTATTATTATTTAATGTAAATCTCTTGTATAACTTGAAAATATGACACACAAGACGATATCAATATCAGCAAATTATTTAGAATTAGCTTCGATGATAAGTAAACTCTTATCTATTTAAAATATGATTTTAAATTTTTATTCAGAGTTCGAAAAAAACTTCGAATAAAATATGTAATTGATTACTTAAAATTCGTTGGTGCGATCTCAAATCCCGATGGCGTGGAGTTAATTGGATTCACAATAATCGCAACATGGTGCGCGCCCTTAGGAAGAGATGATGGGTGCGCGAGCAAGCCGGCAAGACGCCAAGATCAGCTCGCCAACCGCGCTTTCCGGTTAGCGTTTTATAAATACTGCAGACAGGCAAACAGTGCACCGAACACGGTAGACCAGTTGTGAGATCATTCGAGGTGCGTGGCCGCTCGATTTGCGCGATTTGAATAAAATGCATGAGAGGGAGAAAAAGACACCGACTTATCTCTCAACATAGATTTTCCAGACGCGCGTATCCGCGTTTTCTGCGGATTTCACCCGCAGATGTGCCTCCCGGACGGGGACACACGCTTTCTCAGCGGTGTTAATTGTACTCCTTCGTGTCTCCACTGCTCCGAGTACTTCCTCGAATCCCAGTGTGGCATGCGGACGGATTACTGAAACGGGGTGGTGCACGCGATCTGTAAATTTGCATGGACAACCCCGTGCTGTGAGTGTTCGTGTTTCCGTGAATCGTGAACGGTGTTTACATAAATAACGACGGGAGACCGATTCACGAGTTCCATCAACCGTTCACCGATATGAACGCGATTTGAATAAAATGCATTTATTGGTTACTTGTCGTTTGTTTCCTCGATTATCATATGGAAGCATTTTTAAGGAACGGAGAGAAACCTTTATACGCGCGCGATAGTCTGGCAATTAAGAATTTCGTTTGTCGAATTAATAATGTTTTTATCAATGTAGAGAGATTTACATTAATCTTGATTTAACTTACACTTTAGTAATTACTTACCTTAATTTTTTGAACTGGAAAAAGATAAAAAATAAGTTAAGCTGGCAATAAGATTAATCTACATAAAGTTAATCTACATAATAGGAACTGGCATAAAATTTTTTATTTAATTAAACCCTGCCTTTTCAAGATCAAATAAAGTAAATGTCTTGTTTTAAATTTTACAACATTACCTAATTCTTGTATATACTCTGAGAGAAAAATATATAAATTTTAATAAATATTGGTTTGAATAGTGCTAGTGTTAAATATTTACTAAATGCAAATACATTTATTTGATACAAGAATTATTAATTCAATTATTATACCTTTTTAATAAATATTCCATAAATATTATATTTTCCATAAATATTATATTGATGTTATTCAAACAATCATTTAAAATTTAATATATGACATTTTTCTCTCCAAGCAAAACAACAAAAATAAATCGCAAATGATTAAAAAGTTTATACTTTTAGTGACCATTTTGGAGTCATTTTGACGTCATCATGATACTAAAATGACGTCAAAACAGCTTTAAAACGATTACGAAAAGTCACTTTTAAATCAACGATTTATTTTAACATCGTTTTGACGTTTATTGTTCTGTTTGGATAATATGATACGTATCTTGACGAGATGAAAGAAAGACACGTGCGCGCTTATTTTTATTGGGCAAATAAAAAACAAGAGGAGAAATCCGGAATATCGATTTATTATTCACGAATGATGTAACGTCTTTATTACGTCAAAAGAATCGCTTTCCACTTCCTAGAAATGTTTCGGAAACGCTCATCTTGTATCTATTGTCGATCTGGGTGCGATCTGCCAAATCATATGTATATATATATATATATATCGTGTGCATTCCTTGTGAAATTTGCAGCCACACTCATCTTGCGCAACAATTGTACACAAAAATACTAGCCGGCTGCATCGACAGCACGCACTTGCAGAATGACGATTTCATGCCGTTAACGGTCTCCCGTCAGAAATGTCGCGTCGTTAGATTCTCATTTTACGACAAAGTATATTCGTCTGATTTCCATCGCGTCCTACTTCTTTCCATGTATATTACTACCATAATGTTGGAATCCTTTTCATGTTGTTATCGTGCACGTGAATTAACCGACGCGTGTAATTCGTACAACACGAACATTCGCCGTAACATGATTATTTCTATTTATGTTTATTACTCCTTTCATCACGATGTCAGTCTCATACATCAATCAAACGTTACGTTTTACAGGATTGGATACGTTTTGAAGAGCGGGATTTTTTCGGAACGATGACCGATGATACTGCGAGATTTATGATACGAGATGTAACGTCTAGTCGTCGCAATTGAGTCCGTGCGTCGAACCAGAACATCTATTCTCGGTGAAAAAAATAATAACTGCGAATTATCGAGATGAGTGGAATGAAGAAGGCGATCGGAGGATCCATTCACAGAATACGGGAGTTCGAGCTCGAGAAGGTAATGCCTTTCTTTCCGTGTCTTCTATTTAGTCCTCTTCCGCGAAAAACCGGTCACAATTGGATTTTCCTTTGTCAGTTCCTATGGCATTTCTTTAAAGTCTCTCGCGCTTTCCTCGAGAATAAAGCCTAAACAATGGCTGCGGTAGTCACAAGCAGAGCTTTTCCAGTTTCGAGACATTGAGATCCAGAAATAGGATTCGCGAACGAGCAGCATTTCATTATGTTCGCTCGAACCGAGTTCTAACGGCCATTCTCCTGCCTGGCATTGCACCAATGTTTCTCTAACAGAGGATCCATGACGAAGACAACGTTTGTGACTCGTCGTTGTTGGATTACTTCGTGACTTTGTATCTCTAATACTGAATCATATAGCTTTAATTACAATCTTGATGACACAGAAGTTAAATAGAATTTGAGATTCATTTCACTGGAAAATTTTAAAATGATCAAATTCGCAGAAATTTAAAAGACACAGTTTTGAAAGTAGAGATTTTAAGCTCTTTCCTATAGCAAAGATGTTACAGAAGATGTTACTATAATAGCATAATAAAGTCACGGTGACGTGCAGATGTCCGCTTTCTCACAGGTATGATATCGCCATGACGTCATTATGAAACTACAATGTGATAAAAATTACGCCTTATTGTGACATTACTATAACATATATAGATAATAATGATATTACTGCGACCTTTTTGATAATTCCATTTAATAATATCGCAAATTATCCGTAATTATTGTGAGTTTATTTTGAATTTTCAATTTTCCGTGAGTATAGTGATGTGAATGTGATTTTTCGCTATGGGTATTAAAATTCTTTTTTAAATTTAATTTTCGTTCATTTTCTAAATAAAGTTACAGCTTTTAAAATTCGTAACACTACGAATTTTTGTTCCGATTAGGGTTACATTATTTAAATCACAAAAAAGAATGCGTATAAACATAAAAAATTTTCTATTGTATAGCATATCAAAATAAAAAGTAATTTGAATTTCTCAAGTAAAAACTCGTAGCTTTTATTCAATTCTCTACAGTCTAGATAGATTCTATTTAGTCGAAATAAAGATATGTGGTTCAACGAAACAGTATTAAGGGGAAACCGTCTTGTATGTCGGGTTCGCATCGGGATGAAAACGTGCGTTCGAAGCGTGCGTTGGAGTAAAAATAGATGTTGCGTAGAGATCGGCGTCGGCCGTATGGGCGTCGCGTCGTATTCAGCGTGCAGCGGATAACGCACCGTCGTTGTGCTCGCGGGATCCCTGGCGTTTCCCATCGGGATTGCATTTCCCTCGTGACGTTGTATATGCCGCATCCTTTGTCCCGAGGTACGAGGTCTCTCGGGTTTGAGCGTCATTACGATCCGACTGGTGAACGTTTGGGTTTCTCTTCATCCGTCATTCGCGGCTCGAAAAGCAGGCGACGTGACTCTCGATCGATCACGACCACGTCATGTGCGGCAGCGCGTCGAGAGCTAACTATTTTCTGGGACAGGTGAACCTGATCGACGAGTTCGACATCCTGCAGATCGTCGGCGAGGGATGGTTCGGCAAAATCCTGCTGACCGAGCATCGCAGTACGCAGACCGAGATGGTGCTGAAGGCCCTGCCGAAGGCGTATACCGGCATCTCGGATTTCTTTCGGGAATTTCATTATGGGTTACATCTGTCGGCACACAGAAATATTATAACCACCTATGACGTGGCGTTCGAGACGGCCGGCTTCTACGTTTTCAGTCAGGAATACGCCCCACTCGGTGAGATTTTTTTTTACAACGCTCGCTTGCACGCGCGCGACGACTTTTTGTTCTCATCTCACAAATCAGACGCCGTTCATTAAGTTTTTAGTTCTGAATTCTGAGTTCCACTATATAATCTATTTTCTTATCTCTATAAATTGGCGCAGAGTTTATATCAAATGAGTTATAGCATATTTTGTTTCATTTAATCAAAATTATTTACGATCGTGCAATACAGGATATTTATTTAATTATATTGCAAAAGAAATATATCGTAGATTAAAAAAAATCAATTAAATCTATTTTTGAAGAAATAATATTTTTTGATACTTGCATTAAATCTGTAAGTATTATCTATATTGTTAAAAAGTACTCTAATTTACAAATTATTTATAAATATATTAATTAAGAGAATAAGTATAACAATTATATATGTATACATAAATTATATATAAAATCGGATAAATATACATTGAGGGCAGAAGATAAATTACGGAACCAATCGGGATTTAAACAAGACTTTATAGATATACCTCCTGCCATGTGTTCTTAGCATCTATAATTAGTTATCTCAGCTATTGCACTGTTCTCGTATCTATTCCGATCTCTTATCAATACCTAATCAACTTTACGGCCCTATTCTTACGTATATAAATTATATATAAAATCGTATCAATTTTGCATTTATCGTTGATGCAATTTTACATACTTCTTTTATTGCGCAATGAAAAGACTAAACAATAGCTCTAAATATTTCCCAATATGCAATATCATTTATAAAACGATTTATAAAACGATGTCATTCCAAAGAACATGACATTCGCGTTGTCGTTGCACAAAAATACATTTCAGTTACCGTGTCATCGATTTTCAGGCGATCTCACGTCGAACGTGACGGAAACAGGGTTGGGCGAGCTGCACGCGAAGAGGGTGGCCAGGCAGCTCGCTGCCGCGGTGCATCACATACACAGCCGTGAACTAGTGCATCGTGATATCAAACTCGACAATATACTCGTGTTTCGTAGTGATTTTTCGCGTATCAAGCTGTGCGATTTCGGCGAGACTAGACGGGTTAACACCGTCGTACGAAGACATAACGAATGGTTGCCATATTCGCCGCCTGAGGTATTGCAGATCTACACCGATGAGACGTACAAGTAATTATATATACATATGCTGTAATTGATTTTATATGTACTACTTTTGTTGTCACGTGATATTTTTATGCACGCAAAAGAATTGGAAGAAAGAAAGAAGATTAAGTGAAAGTAGGATAAAATTGAAGGCCTGGAAAGAAAAGGGGAAAGTAGGATAAAATTCAGATCCATCTTGATCTCGATTTTCTTGAATTGAGTGAAAAGTATAGCTCTTCAGGGATCTCATTGTGTTATGGATAGATTTTATTTTCAAGAATAATATTACGATGTACTGTATTGTATATTTGAATATGAATATATCAAGAGCATTTCTTATTAAATAGCATAATAATTTGCATTTTCTCTACATAAGGTAAACATTTACATTTCGCAACTGTACTATTGTACATTTTACATATATCTACATGTACTTACTATTCAAGCTAGGCATTAAATCAACTGCAGCCATGCCTGTTGTGTGCATTTGATAGTTTGTCACGTATTATATACTACTGTACTGCTTTTTCAAATCATTGTTGCAATGCGTTCACACAACACACATACACACACACACATACAAAACACACACAACAAAGCTATTATTATCATTGATATTGTTACTCATAACTTTACTTATCGTGAGAGAGAAAGTGAGCACTCAATTTTATGCTACTTTCTTCTGATCTTTTCTGAGAAGTTTCGAAATTCTAATTTTTTAATACTCCGTATCCAAAATTTTGATTAAATATAAAAACGCTGTTGATGTATTGTGACATGTATGATATTTCACCGAGAAAAATATTCTGATTAAATCCATAAAAGGACCTAACAAAATGATATTTTGGAGAGATCGAACAGTATTTCTGATTGTCATAACTTTCTCTATTTGCTCTCATCAAAATGTCAGTCTTGTTAAGTTCTTTTGATTTAATCAGAACATTTTTTTTCAATGTTGAAATGTAGTTCGGACACTGTCGCTGAGGATATATATACGTTCTAACGATGACGGACGGATGACTTTCAGAGCTCGCACGTCGCACGACGTCTGGCAATTCGGTATTGTCCTATTTGTCTGCCTGACCGGATGCCTGCCATGGCAGAAAGCAGCGATGGACGACCCGCGCTACACCAGATATCAAAACTGGCACAACGCGACGCTTAACATCGCCAAGAAACCGAAATTATTTCAGCTGATCAGCTCACGGGCGCAGAGGTGAGTTTTCATTTGGGAGTTTTCATCTGAGAATGCGAAATTAAGCGCCATGCAGTCGCGTCAATGTGCATCTCGAACATATGATATAGTTAATTATTATTCAATCACTTTTCAAGCGCTTTCTTTTGATTGTTATAAAATTGTTAAGAGTATCATGTTGTTCGTAATAAAGCGACTAGGAATTTATATCTTGTAATAAGAATTTTAACATAAAAATTCAAACGTAGTATAAAACACATAATATAAACACGTAATATAAAACTCATAAAATTTTTATATTTTTTATAACGTTTTCAGTTGTGACACACATACATCTTTACATAATATAAAGATACACATACATAATATAAAGATAATGGGCGTATAGAGGATTTTTTCAGAAGGAGGATGGTTTATCAATTTTTTATTATCACACAAATAGCAATTTTTCACTATTTTTAACAAATTGCTTTTTCTGATATTTTAGAGCTTAGAATTTAGAACGTCTCTGTTTCGGTCTTGATTTTGAATGAAAGAAATTAAAAAAAGATTTTATAAATTATAATTTTTATTTTATTTCCTGAAAAAATAAACAAAATATAGTGAGGTAAAATATAAAAGAAAAATTTCGGGGAGAGTTGAACCCTTCAAATTCTTTTCCTCCTTTGGATACATCCGTAACAGTGATAAAGCACGTAACTAAATAAATACTTTGGCATTTTATAAAGAATGTTCAAGAGGCTATTGGACCCGAAGATTGACAAGCGACCAGTCAGCGTGTTGGAAGTAAATAAATATTTAGAAGACAGATGGCTAGCGAAACTCGGGGTCGAAAAAGCGTTGAACGGTCAGTTGACGTTACATCGCGATAATATCGGCGATATGTCATGATATCTTAGCGACATTTCTTTTTATATCTGCAGGCGGCGCCGACGAGAGGGACGAGCTATGTCCGTCTATGTACAGCTTCCACAGTTCCTTAGAGGAGAAGAATCAACTTCTCCACACACTTACGACGTACGGGATCGAGACAACGGTGGATCATTCGAAGAAGAAGGATCGTATCAGGGAATGGATACAAGCTAGCGCTATTGTCGAGGAAAACGAGGAGGACGAGTCTGATGTTTACGAGGACTCGGAGTTCTGTGAAGATGAAGACAAGGACGGGAACGGAAGCGAGGAGACAGAATCGATCTCCATGAAAGGCAGGCATTTTCCGGAGAGACGTCCAAGCGCCACGACGAATAATTCTAGAAAGAGAAGAGACAGTAGGGTCGCAAAGAATCGCATCGCGTCGAAAAACAGAGTGCCTGTAAAGCCCATCGAAAGGAAAATACCTTTCGCTCCTCAAGTAGCTGAAGAGCGAGAAACGATCGCGCGCTTCGCCAGTTTCCCCAACGGTGATCCAAATCTCGCCGCCGTAAGGAACGGCGGTGATCAGACTCACGATCTTTCCGCAACCTCGGTGAACGTCCTCGCATCGCCGACAACGAATAATTTCTCCGCGAGCAATCTTCAATCGTCCATGCCTAGTAATGCCAACGGTCGAAACGTCAAAGATCAGGTGAGGACCAACGCTAACAACCCTCGAGATGAATCGCCACTTTCCGTGCAGCTAATCGCTGCTGTCCCCGTCAAACAATCGCCGCCTAAAACTACGGGTATCCCGGATAGCGCTGGTAGAGTTGTACCGATGAGCCCGCAAATCCCGGTCAGAAAAAATCGCGCTCATACAGCGCCGTTTTCAGAGACGCGCTCGGCTGAGGCTCAGGTCGATTTGGCGAGAAAGACGCAGTCCGCGACAGTTTTACGGACATCGGAAACGGAGGACTCGTTATCACCACGTGCGTCAGCAAAGACGTCCGTCTCTTCACATTCGATGACAACTCGAGCGGATAATCCTTCCATTGCTATATTATCGACTTCGCGAGCGGCAAGATCAATCGCTTCACCGGTTGTGCGAACTGATAAAACAGTGCCTACGGCGCCGATAATAAGCAACGCATCTCTAGCCGAGCCCCAGCCTCCTAATAGCGCTCTCCCTGGCCAAATCGAAGGCTCGCCTCCAATCGCGACGCAAATCACAACGTCGACCACTTCTCACTTGGTGATGCAGAGTTTCAACGCGCTGCAAGGTATCGCGGGCGCATCCTCGACCGCTTCGCCGGCGAGCTCGTCGTCGAACATGGGCAAACCCGGTCAACGGGCCGAAGAAGTAAACGTGGCTTACGGAAAAGATGCGTATCAACACTATGGCATCGCCCAGGGAATCATACTACCGATAAAAATGAACGTCCTTAGGCAAGATTCTACTGGCAGCGGGAGTCGATCCGTGAGCAACTGAGATATAAACCGAAGAATGTACCAGATTTTTCTTGAGGTCGACGAAAGTTGGATATTCGCGCAAGTCATGCTAGTCACAGAACCAATTGATTACTGTGTGTAGCAGGTCTGTTCAAAACTTAACTTACAAGCTAAAAGGCTAGAGTATACAGATGTATAAAGCATAAAAGAATTATCAACCAATCAGAGTTTTTTATTATTTTACATGAAATGAAATGGAGGACTAATTGAACTCTAAATGCTTTCTACAATAAACCGTTAATAATAGGTTAGAAGGAGCAGAAGCGAGTTTAAGCAAATCAGTTGTGTGTCATAAAGCAATAATAAGTCAGTGACTGCGTGAAGATGGTCAAATTCCATTTCCTATGATTTAAAACTTAGATTATGTTATAACTGACCAATCATATAGAGTATTGTTATTTTCTCTGAAAACTATCGTCCTTCTGATTAACTGAAATATTGTGATATAACGATTTAATATGATTTATGCTGGATATAAATTTTCTAAGATTTATGATGACTTATAATTCTGATTTACCACTATGATATGAATGGTAACTAAGACTACTAACGTTTATTGTAGAAAATCTATTTTGTTTTAAATTTATTTTAAAGTTGACGCTTTAGATTGATTGCCGCAACAAGCTTGTAATCGATTTGTGAGTAATATAGAACCAGGGTTATGCGTCAGCTCGGATATACAATAGATGTAGCTTCGTAAGAAATTGACAAATTATAGTCGATTATTCTCCTTACATTAGACTGTAATTGGTTAATTTCTTATGGTTTAAGACTTACTATACTTATTGTAGATCTGAGCTTATGTAAAGGTCTATGCTCAGGCCTAAACGTTCTTATTTCTCTGTTTCGTTGAGGATAACAGGTAAAAAGCAAAAAAGGATACTCATTAGAACAGCCAGGCTCACTGGGCAAAAATCTAGCGTCTATTCTTTTTGTTTTCTCTTTGTCTCGTTTAACGAGATGAGAGACGATGCAAAGAGATAACAGTGTTAGTTCGCGAGCTAAGTTTTGAACAGATCTGATTTATATACTTGAAGATACATATTTGATTGGAACATCACTTATGTGAGATTTACCTGAGATTCCTGTAAATTAAAAGAAAGTACTCATGAAAGTATTCGAAGTAGGAAACACCCATATTTGCCGTTGGTGCAATATTTTTCATAATATATATAATAATTGATATTGTTGATATTGCTTCACAATCAAAGATTGTCGAGCGTTCCTTCAGAAAGTATATGTTGATATAAGACATCACGATGTTCGATGTATAGGAAGTAAGGCTATCGCGAAAGTAACGTTATGATAGAACGCTGGATGGAACACGTTACGTATATTATACTTCATTAGTTTCAAGAGACACTTATATCGCCACGTGTCGCTCGCTTCACCAAGTCTAACGGGATAAAATTAGCGCGGCGTCTCGAAAGAGAGTTGCACCGTGCAAGAATGTTCGAGGCCATTAGCGTCCCACCGTGGGAAACAGTGAAATTTTTATTGTCCAAACGTGACGCGAGTTCTACGCGCTTTTTGTTAACATCTCCACTTTTTGATTACAAATTTCTATTGGTATAATGATTATTTGAATGCAGTGTGCAGAGAAAAATGTAGTCGCGAAATGTGAGTTAATTAGATATTTATACATGCTTTTGTGATATTAGAGATCATGATTAGAACATGAAACATCCCAGTAATGTTGCAACAGCTGCAATATTGCTGAAATGTTCCATGCTACCATAGATCTATTATTTGGCTAATGTAAATGTAATCAATTTTGAGGGGTACGAAATGCAAGAAAATGTAAAATTTATATTACATAATTTGTATATTAATATTTTAAAGACACATTACTTTTGAGAGAAATAATATTGTTCTGATACTTTATTTTCCTTATAAAAGGTTAATATCTCATACGCTTAATATGTGATATTAACCGCTCTACAGTATGATTATAAATTTATTTTAAAGTCATAATTTACACAATCAATTATAGCTTGTGCAGAATATAATTGGTACTATCTTTTGTTCACGATTATTTTAAAGTTGCAAAAGCGGTCGCGATAGCCAATTAGAAGTGTCAATAGTCGATGTTATGACCGTTTGTGTGATTTCGAAATGAGTTTACGACTGTAGACTACGCTTAAGTGATAAATTACTGCAATTTCGCTCGACATTGATTTGCGGACACTGTTCAAAAATAACAGAAATAAACGTAACGTTTTTGCAGAGTCGCGACATTTGGTTAAATCGCGTATATGATACTATTTCAGACACACGCTTTCACTACCAGTACGCAAACATATTGAATAACGGATTGTCCATGCCAGTTATGTCATATGGTTTATTTTTATAGAAATATATTACTTTCCACATCATTTTTGAAGCAAGACATCTAATAAAAACAAGAATGCGATAAATTTAACATAGCGTATTAAAAATATTTTACACAAAGTGCAAAATCGATCTTTTATTACTGACACTACGATATTATGATACTACGACGATATTACGATGACGTGCGACTGTTTTTGTAACTTTTTAAAATAAATTTGCGACTGCCTTATTGTAGATTACGCTTAATGATAAACCATTGCAATTTTGCTCGACGTGATTTGCTGCGGGCATTGTTCGAAAATAACAGAAATAAACGTAACGTTTTTGCAGAGATGTGATGTTTGGTTAAATCGTATACGATACTATTTCAGGCACACGCTTTTACCACTATATAATATGTAAACACATAGGATGTGTTCGGGGAAATACAATAAGCGCTGTTTGTGTCATTCTATCCTTGTTTTACACCCAATAAACAATGAGGATAGAATGACACAAATAGCGCTAATAGAGTCTCTTCGAATGCATTTATCGAATACCGAATTGCCTCTGCTATGTCGACGTCGCGCGGTTTACTTTTACAGAAATATATTATTTTCCATCATTTTTGAAACAAGGTATTTAATAAAAACAGGAATGATTTTAATATATACGCGTGTTAAAAATCTTCTATATAAGGTATATAAAATCGGTCTTTTATTACCGATAATACTCTTGCTATCTGATTGTCAGGTAAAGATATACAAGCGCCGCGGAGTTGCTAATTAGTTATTAGACGTTCGATATTACCTGATTTGTGTGCGGAGGCCGTGACTATTAGATAAGCTTGCTTCAGCGGCAAGTTTCGCTAAACGAAGTCGCTCGACGGAAGCAAGAACGCCAAGCACGAGGATGCCAAGTACGAGGGGAGAGAAGAGGATGACGAGTTTCCAGAGGAGCCACGGGAGCGAGAGGACGATAAGGATGCGCGTGTTTGGCGATGTGAAAGTAATTCCCGAGCGGGTCGTGGCACGAATTAATTAAGAGATTCGTAAGTAACGTATATTGCGCAGGAGGCGCAATTACCGTCGTCTTTGACGCCGAGGAGTAACGCGGTAACGTGCGAAAGATATGAAGGACCGTCGCACGTAGTCGAAGTAGTTTGTTGTTTATCGTTAGGAAACTAACTGGTGGAATATTGAGGTGCGACCGAGACTCAGTAACTCGAAAATTCTTTGACGTACGCGTTAATTAATACTTAAGTCAACGTTACTCATGGAATTACTAATTGACACTTTGAATCGCGCGTGATAGTTTTATAAATATACTTTCATAGCGCCACCATAACGATTATTTTTACGATTGTAATATGGGCAGTAGAATGATTTAATGAAATATATTTATAAATTCAATAACACAGATCTGAAAATATATTCTGTTGAACTATCAAAATAATTATCAATATAATACGTTCAAACATAGGATATTTAAATTTTTTCCAGCATTGTTTGAATTCTATATAATTATTACGGTGACTCAATCAAGTTATTTTCAGATCTATCACTTAAATTTTTAAGTACTTCGGTATCTAAAAATTCAATACAATCGTTCTTTCCCCGAATGTCATTTCTCATAATGTATGTCTACAATCTGCAATATAATTTCGCAATTGGTTATTGTTAATAAATTAATATTGATCAATTAAAATAAATGTTTTGGTTTAATTAATTGATGTCGGTACTGAGTGACTGGTATAAGTTACTGCTAACAAATTACTGATTTTATACTACAGATATACAGCGTACGGTAAATGTATGCACGCGCCATATGTGTGCTTTAATAATACGCAGTTTAGTCGAAGCCAGTCTTGTATAAGCTATGTTCGGGACCACACAAAGCTGCAGTAATTATTGCCTGTAACACGCGTCCGCTCACGAAATAGTCGTGACTGTCCTTGATACATCATGGAGCGCAGCTGGTAAACGTGGCTGATCGAAAATCGTCGCTTTGCCGAGCGTCACGCTTGACACCTTTGCTGTTCGGTACCGGTCCAAAAGCCCGGATGAAAATTGATGAAACCACAATTGGTGTTAATGGCGTACCACAACTTCCCCCTCGTTGGTACCATTTAACAACCTTCTGCATCCTCGTTATGTATATCGCTTTCGGCGACATTTATTTCGGGATCGACCGAATCTGTTTTAAGACTAGGGATCTACGTGCGAAATCACGATCTGCGAAGACATCAATTTGTAATTGCTAATGATATTGTTGCAATAAATAAAACAGATTTCTTACAGATTTCTCCGCTTATGTTTTTTCGCGAGAGATATTCCGCACGTCAATCTTAATTTTAGAGCAAATATACAACTATATTTAATATTTTCAGATTGTATTATTTTACGATATAATTAATTACAGCAGTCATTAGCAAATTAACTGTCTTAAAATAAATTCTTGTATTACGTATTTGAGATAACTGTTTGTAAGAATAATTGTACGATATATATAGAAGAATTAAAGAGAACTGAGTTGGAAAGGTAAGTTATTTAGCATTATTCGTATTCAAAATATCAATACGAGTATTATAAAAAAGAGAAACCATATAAACTACATTTGTATACCACGTTTTCATTTTATTAATTCTATTTTTTAAACAAATAGAAAGTATACACGCTCGATATCATCTATATGGTTAATACGATAATGAAATAACCATTAAACGGACACAATAAAAGATTTTTTTACAAAACAACATGAGATTGTGTATTCATATATTTTAATTACAAAGATGTGGACACGAACAATAATTTATATTTTGTATTTTTTCTCGTAATACTTGATCTCTTTATCCCTTAATCCCTTTTCATAATATAAATTTCATAACATAAACTAAAGAGAATATTGTAAAATTTGACACAAATCCCCTCTTCAATTCTTTTTACCTTTACATTATAATTTTTAATAAAATAATTAATCTGATTACATATAATGCATGCATGTCATCTTAATGAATATGGAGATTATAAGTACGATAAGTATAAGGTATCCATAGTCAATGAGTGTGTCATGGCCGAGAACGAGCCCATCACGCCCATAATATTCGCATGGGAACACTTCGTCCAAGCGAAGCCGGGGGGGAGAGGAAGGGGAGGGGGGGGGGAAGGACCTTCCTGTCGCGGGAGAGAGCAGTCGATCTCTCGCGAGAGCAGAGAATGTATATACTCTCGCGCGTTACGCCGTCGTCATCCGACACGTGGGACGTGACGAGAGAGCGTATTAATCGTTTATGGAGCGTGCAAATGCAACTGCCCGACCTCGCTGCCCTCTTCCTCCCCCCCTCCCCCTCTCGTCGTCATCCTTGTCGCTGCTCGAAATCGGATCAAATCGAAAGCAATCATCGCGCGCCGATTGTAGGATACGAGAGCTCGGGAGAGTGCGACTCCAGCCCACTAATTCGAAACGCGCTGTTCGATTTGTTCGGGCTGTGCCGGGATCGCGAAATAAAAACGCGCCCTCTCCGGAGGGCATTAACGTCGGTCGCGACAGCACTCCGAGATGGTAACGGTTCGGTGCGCGCCGACGTCGATCATTATAATACGTCGTAAAGTAGACGTGCGCCAACCGGAAGAACGTTTGCTCCTTTACGATTCGCGCGACGATGAAATATATCGACGTAAGCGAATTCCGAGACCGTTCGTCGTGATACTCGCGAGCTATACCGCTCGTCGCTCTTTCCGTATACTCGCGTCCGTTCCTTCTCTTCATCCTCCATGGTCTCCCGGTCTGTTTCCTGCCGGGCTGACAACCCGGGTGTCGGATTACCGTCTTCCATTTCTACGTAGGTGTTCGAAGGGCTGAATTAATCTCGGTTGCCGACTTCGAAGTCAAATCACTAGCTGATTATGAGTTACAGTCGAAGGTTTGAGGACCACCAAAAACAGGACAGAATATGACGATGTCGAGGAACAGCGATTCTGGAAGCTGAAGTTTCTCGCGCGAATTTAATCGTGATAAACTTACCTTTTGCTACACGGAAAGAATGATTTTACTGAAGTATTAAAAAATTTAGTTAAATACAGAATCTGAAGATAATTTTCTTGGATTAAAATAATAATGTGGAAATCTTAAGCACGATGAGCATTGCTGTAGAAAGTTTTAATATTCTAACAATCAGTTTTAGCGTTCTACAAAATTATTTTTAGTTCTTTTATATATATATCTAACTATATTCTTATTGTTAGATACTTCAACAAAATCGTCTTTTGTGTGCATGACGTTCTTTCTTTATTTCTAATTGTCTTATAATTATTCTATATTTGTTAATGTAATAATTGCATAATGTAATAATTGCATAATGTATTAATTGCATCTTCTTAAATAAATAAATTATTAAATATGCGCTTATCAGTTATTATCAGGAAAAATCAACGGCCAATATTGATATTGGTAAAATAAAATACTTTTTATATAATTGAATAATTCTGTAAGTACTGAAACACATTTACTCTTGGAGCTACAAGCTATTTATTTTGTTTCGTTTAATTTATTTTATTTTAAATAATTTATCAATATTTTATGTTTTCGATTATTGGCCTTTCGCTTAATCTCTTCTTCAGAGTTAATTAATTAATTTTGTAATAGAAATGAGCTAATTATTGTCATCATTAGTATCCTTAGTTTTCCACGAAATTAAGGAAAGGCTAAATACCAGAAAATCTGTTCTGACAGCGACGTTGCGCAGTTCCGCTGTGAACGTCTTTATGAACGGAAACGGATATGTGAGTCCTTTTTCGTATATTTTGGCGAAATCGAGAAGTTGACGAAAGCGTTTTAAACACGTGCGCCCACATACCAGGCAACTCCTAATAGCCATCTTTCTTTAGCCTCTTTTTCGTTTACTGTTACAAGAAAGATCCGTTGCATATGATATAGCACGTTTTTCCAATAATCGAGAAAATGCTCGATTAATTATCGCGCGTGAAATAAAACTGTTTTTAGGTGCGAATGTAGACAATCATTGACAAAATGGATTGAAAATGAACGCACTGTAAAGTTTCATCCATCGCCATTCATTTAAATATTCAAAAGCATTAAAATTTAATAACAATTTAAATAACATTAATATCATGGGAACAAAACTGATATCGATTCTCTCGCAATTTTACTGTTAGTCTCGCGACGAATAATGGGTAAATGTGGAATTGCACAAACGATCGTTTGTACAGTTCAATTTTTCACAATCTATGAGACGCAATTAAATTTGCAAAATTATTAAGTAAAATATCATCAATTGAACAAGATCTGTTATATGTCAAGTGTCATCATAAAAATGAAATATGTAAGAGTAAAAT